TTTTCCTATTTAAATATATCATGTCACCCTCCAAGGTTTCTGCTGAGAATTTCACTGATAATCCTATTGTGAATCCCTTACACATTACAAGCCACTTTACTCTTACTGCTTTCAAGAGTCTCTCTTTGTCATTCCCTTTTGACAGTTTGATTATAATGTGCTTCTGTGTAGGTTTCTTTTGCTTTATCCTACTTGGAGTTCTTTGAGTTTCTTTGATTTATAGATCCATGTCTTTCCTAAAATTTGGGAAGATTTTTGTGATTATTTTTTCAAATAATCTCTCTCTCTCTTCTCCCTCTGGAACTCCCAAAAAGTGGACCACATGATCCACTTGAAGGTGTCCCATAGTCCTTTAAACTCTGTTCACTTTTAAAATTCATTCTCCTTAGATAATAACTTCAAATGTCATGTCTTCAAGTTCACTGATTCTTTCTTCTGCCTGTTGTAATCTACTGCTGAATTCTTCTGGTAAATTTTCAATTCAGTTACTGTATTTTTTCAGCTCCAAAATCCTTTTGGTTCCTTTTTACAATTTCTTTTTGTTGATATTCTCATTTCATTCACATATCATTTTCTTGATTTCCTTTAGTTCTTTGTGTTTTCCTTTAGCTTTTTGAGCTTAAGACAGTTTTAAAAAATGTTTTGTCTATTTCTTTATACTACTATACCTGAAGCCTGTGTTTGTTCAGAGATTATTTCTGCCATTTTATTTTCTTCCTGTAAGTGAGCCATATTTTTTTTGTATGCCTTATGATTTTTTGGTGAAAACTGGGCATTTGAAAAAATGTCCACCTGTTCTAGTTTTGCAGACTGGTTGTGTGCCAGTGAAGATCTTTACTAACTAGCAGGGCCTATTCTGAGTGTTATGATCAGCTCAGAATAAAGGTTTACAGATGCCTCAGGTTTTGTCTGAGCATTCATCGTGCGTGCATGTGTGTGTGTTGCCCTACATATGTAGCTACTTCTAAATGTCCTAATTTCCTACAGTGTCACCCCAATTTCAATTCAGGGCTTTAGATGTTCTATGTTAATTCTTCACATGTAATCTCTTCCCAAGGCAGCTCTGGGTCTGTAATCCCACTGTAGCCTGAGACCTGAGAAAACATGACAGTTTTCTCCACCTGAATTCCAAGTCAAACAAAGCAGAGACCAGTCCCTCAGGTAGCCCCAGACAGGTTAGTATGCTGCAAATAAAGTATCTTATGCTCCCTCCATTTTAATGGAGCAAACTGGACAGTGGCTGCTACTTCCTTCAGACTATGATGTATCATGCAACAGAAGAGAGGTTCTGGGCCAGGAATAAGTGAAAAACACAAGATTTTCTACCATTTTAAATGTGTCTTTCAAAAAAATGGACATTGTGCTTGATTGCTGTAGATTTTAATTATATTCGAGAGGTCCTATAAAGTTATTTTAACGTGTATCTGGTTTGGTTTTGTTTTTGATGTTTCCATGGAGCAAAGAGAGTCTAAAATTTCCTAGCCTGCCGTCTTGCTAATATCACTCCACCACAGCCCCATTTATCCCAGTGCTCGCTGATGGTTTCAAATCATTGTGAACACAATCTTCAGGGCTCTATCACGATTTGCCAGCAGGAGTCAAAATGAGATGTGTCAAAATTAGATTCGTGCACAATATTACAATCAATGTACATACACTTATAACTATGTCCATGTGAAAGGACCTATATTCATGTAATTAAAAACTGTATAAAACATTATTAGGATTTTATTTTGCAGAAGCATGGGTCAGCAATTCCGAAACTACTCCCTGTGAATTCTGTGACTGATGAAATAATAAATATAATGTAGATAATGGGAGCCAGGAATCTGTCAATAGAAAAAAGCTACAAATATAGGAAAGTGAGAGCAAATGACAGAATGAAAACAAGGGTGTTAGACTGAAATTAGAGGTCTCACTGGGAACTTGTGGGTATTAATATACATAGATAACTATAGAAATGGATATAGATGCGTTTGCAGGTATATGTAAGTGCATTTATGAATACACACATGTATGCATATGTCTGCATATGCATACATCTATTTTCTAGCTCTATCCATTAAAAAGACCTAAAATCAATGATACTCCCAGGATCAATGATTAAACGTTGGTTTATTAATACATTTCTCCATTAGAGAAAAGACTCCTTAGAGAAACAGCTAATTCCATGGTTGGAACAGGGAAAACATAAAGTGAGCCTGGAACTTCTTAACATGTCAAAAAGTGAGGAAGTTTTCAAAGAATGATGGGACATGACAAAAGGACCAGAAACAACTTTAAGGGACCCCTACAGGCCAATAACTGGAACAAGTTTATCATCCTCCCCATTCCCCAAAAAAAGATGGTTAAAGGATTATAACCTAATAAAAAGCCTATGAATTCACAGTGATATAAGAAAGGAAATGAAGAAATATGAGGTGGAGGAGGGAAAGCTCCTCATTTCAGCATAATTCCAACTAATAAATGAAGAAGGAATGAGGGAATTATTCTCCAATGATGGAATCAGAAAAATCACCATTGAACAACCATCATAATAATAGATTCAAACAAGAAACAACATGGATACTAAAACTAAATGTGTAAAAATTTAAAGAGTCACAGAATATTTATGTCATCTCAAAGTATCTCCCTACAAGGCACTTATTAGTTACAAAGGGTAAGATAGTAATTGTAGAGTGGAGAAATCTGAGAGGCACTAACCTTGATCAAGCAGTCAAAGTTGACAGAGCCAGAATGGGACAATGGACAAGAGCAGTCTCCTGATAGGGTATAATGACAAGAATTCTGCATCACTTTTGTGGTATTCCTAAGGCACAAATAATATAAACTTAATCACGATGAAACATCAGTCATATCCAAATATTAGTGAAATCCAAACAGTCAGTGTTAAGAAATACAAATAAATGATCTGGAAGAACACTAGGAATCTGTGGCTTCTTCTTTAAAGTTAGATTTGTCAGTGTGTTTATATTGTTTCAGCCACATTCAGCTGGACTGCAGGGGTTCTGGTGCAGAGTAGGCAGAGGTTTTTATTTAACCAGGATTGTCTTTAACCAAAGCCAGAAAACAGCAACAAAGTTAAAGGAGTAAAGTCAGTATAAAGATATGTGTGTATTATGTCTACGCACACATAGATATATGTATATATACACATAGACACACACAAATTGGTAATTAAAGTGTGTATACAAGTGAGTGAGTATAAAGACCAACTATGGAGTTTAAGAAGGAAGGAGAGGAAGGCCTAGCTAAGGGGCTAGGGAAAGGAAGTAGGATCAGTGCATTGGAGATGCAGGGGAGAAGTAGAAAGGCTTCTAAAATCTGGGTAGGAATTAACGAAACTAAAAAACAATAGATATAAATATGCACATAAAAAGTTAGGCCTATAACTTCCAACAGTCGTTAAAGTCAGTGAGATTATGAATGATGAGTGGTGCCTATTTTCTTTTCCTTTAAATGTACTTTCTAATTTTTCAATTAGCACATATTCCTCTAGGAACTTAAAGAAACAAACGCTTATTAAAGAAAAGTTTCCAATAGAAATAAATACGAGGCCAGGCACTGCAGCTCACGCCTGTAATCCCAGCACTTTGGGAGAGCAAGGTTGGGGGGATCGCTTGAGTCCAGGAGCTCAAGACCAGCCTAGGTAACACAGCGAAACCCCTATCTCTACAAAAATAAGAAGAAAAAGAGAAAATAAGATAAATAAATGAGGAAGGAGGTATTTTCTTTTTATTTTTTAAATACACAGCATTTTTATTAAATATACTCTGTGAGAAAAAGAACACCCTAAAGTGCCAGGTTTCTTGTAAATCTGATAACTTAGTAAATACAATGGTGAAAAAAAAAATCAGAGGAAACATAATTTAAATAGTCTTATAAAAGGGCAAGAATATATATTAATCTTCATATAAGAAAGCAATCATCAAAATATAAAAGGGAAAGACATCTCATTTGTAGAATATATTTCAAAATTCCACCTGTTGATCATTTCATTTAAAAAATGCTAAACACATGGGCAGTCTCACTCTTACCAACATATGTGTTTAAATCGATGGTAGTAGGGGAATTTAGACTACTCATTCACACTGACATAAAGTGACATTTTTGTTGCACAACAGTATTGCTCACTGGCACTAACAGTGGAAGATGGAGGAAGTAGATTTCTGATTCAATTGTTAGCAGCAGAAATGGACTAATGCTAAAATTTTAGGAAAAAAAACAAATAGGTCCAAGCTGTAGCTACTTCCAAGTAACACAAACATTAACCAAACATTGCCAATTTGTAATGGGCTATGAAAAAAAAAAACATGAAAATACTCTACATTGAATATTAGCTTTATGTTACTTTCTATTAAAGATATTCAGTGGGCATATTCTAAATTATATAGGGCATCTATAGAGACCTAAATTAGTAAGTATAATACAAAGCTAACAGGATAGTGTCAACATATCTTGGGATGTTCTAGCCAATGTTTGGCTACAAGTATTTGGAAGGAGTCAAATAACTACATGCACATGCAAAATGAATACTTATAAAAAGAAATCTTAATGTATCAGATATCCACAAACTGAAAAGTGTTACACGTTTGTAGGGGAAAAATACTGATGGTTGGCTGAATGACCAATTAATTATACATACTACTTATGAAAAGCTGGGTGATTTAGGTGCAAAAAAAGAAAAAATAGATATGTACACATATATCTCTAGTAACATCCTACCAACATATATATGTTACATGTCATAGTTAAAGCTGTACAGCTAGTGCTCAACTTACGACCACGGTCGGGACCGCGGACCGGTCGTAACACGATTTGGTCGTAAGTTGAGTAGGCTATATGTGCAGTTGAAATGGTACATGCGGAGATGGTAGTGCTGCCAGAAGCTGGTCCGCACTGTCATACGCCCAGCTGGGCAAGGTTTGCACTGCCAGATGCGGAGCAGTCGTGGCTAGCGATTGTGGTCGTAAAGTCGAATGGTCGTAAGTTACATAGGTGGTAAGTCGATCAATACTAGTATTAACAAACTAGGATATGTAAGGTATCAATGCAGCTAAAATTAAGTTTTAAGTAAAAAGCTGCTGCTACTTAACAAGAGAGTGAACTTTGGGGTTTATTCAAGAATTAGTTCTCATATATAAAAAAGTTTGATATTAATAAACAATACTTGTCACCATAAAGTTTTAGACAGTATAGAAACCTACAGAAAAGTGTTTTTGGACCACTTTAAACAGTTGGAGGAAGCAAATAAAACTGGATTATGAGTATGAATGCATTTGTGATCAAAATTGACACACACAAAAATCAAAACACATTTCACAACAGAACCTGCAAACACTTTTGTATTCATCTCTTTTGAACTATAAAAAAGAATGAATGTCTTGTCTTAATAAGACTTTTAAGCAACAAAATAATTTAATCATGAAGTAGCAGCTTGATTATGAATATATTCTATTATCTGTATCAGCTGGTAAATTAACTGTGATCCAAAAAGGCTGACCAGCTCTAACTAGTATGAACAGGATATTGAATTCATTAATGAATATATAACTATTTTGAGCATACAAATAATCTCTGGTTTTATACCCACTACATTTTAGAATTCTGTAAACTGTGAGGCATAGAATATGTTTAATATGGCAAAAAATCATATGAAATGATTTTTTATTCTGTTCAGTCCTTTTCCCATTAAGCATGCAAACACCTTTATAACCATCTTTGGTTTCACTTCCATAAGGTCATCAGGTAATGCATATATCCGGGCACTGATCTTTCGAGCAACGGAAATGGCATATTTAGCATTGTTCAGCTTGTCCTCATCAGATAAGTTTTCTCTCTTGATCATTTCTTGACGAACTGCATTTGGTGCAATGGCATCTATTAAATCTAGGACAGGTAAACTTGTGCTTATAGATTTATCCTTGAAGATGGAAATAGAAGTATTTTTGTTTGCACTTTTAAGAGTCTGATTGACCCATTTAATAATAATTTCATCATTTACTTTTTCACCCTCTCCAAGATCCGATAACACATTCAATGTGTACCTTCTCATCAGCTGCCATACCAATGGCAGGGTAAGTGTTGAATTCCCTTCATTTAGGTCCTGCCTAGCAATGCCAACCAAGGAGAATTTGGCCTTGTTCTTCCCAAGTTCCACTGCATAGTTACAGTTATCAATCTTCTTCATGTTCCCTCCAAGGGCAGGGTAAGGAGGTTTATTGACATGGCTCCAGTTGACTGGCACTCGTATCATCTCATAGAGCTGAAAGATCACTAAAGCATCTGCAAGGTCACTGTACAAATGATTAATGTATGGGTTGACTCCCAAGGAATTCATCCAGTTCCGAAATGTCCTCTCTTCCTTGCTCTCTCCTTCCAGTAAATTCATACTGATGTCATTATTATTCGGCTTGTGCAGGCATGGGTATGTGTTAAACAGATTAGCCACAAAAGCCAAATTAAATTTAGGATTGCCTGAAACCACATCTGCAGGAGTAACAAACTGCTTGCAGCCCATTTTATCTGCCTCTTGAAGCATGAGTCCAGCACGCTTCAGGTCATTTTTCTCATTAATTCCTGAAAGGTCAATGGCAATGGCAGGTCCATCTTCCCCACCTTTAGGGGCAATCTGATTAAGTGATGAAAATAGGCTCTCGAATCCTTAATGTCTTGGCTGAAGTTGCTAATGGTATGCCATCCTGCATTGGTCAGATGGTAGTTCACCCATTGCAGCAGTAATTCCTCAGGAGAAAGCTTCATCAGCTCCTCTAGTTCCTCACCTTCATTCAGCAATGCAATCAGAGCTTCATTCCTAGAAATCTCAATATCAGCAAAAAGGCCAACTTTGATGATCTGCCAGAGAAGTCCCAAGACCAAGTGAGGTTTTCCTTCTTTGAGATCTGATGCACTGATGTTGACAGCTGTACAACCAATGGCCGAGGCAGAATTCAGAGGTAGGTTTAAATTTTCAGAAATGGTGAAAGGCGTGAGCTTTTTCTTATTGATGGCTCTTTCATCAATTGTATCTGGTTCAGATAAGTTGATCGTTTTGCAAAGAAGGATGTCATCTGCAAGTGACTTGAAAAGACTATCATCATTGGGATTCATGGGTATAAGATGCTTACAGTCAGAGTCATTCACCAGGGCTTTGTTTATCCAGTTAACAAAAGCCACTTTTTCTTCCTCTGAATACGAATGCTGTGTGCCCACACTGGAAATAGATGAAGTTCCTCCAATAGCAGTAATCCCTTCCGTCTTGTTAATTATCTTTTGGAATGTTTTGCTGATATCTTTGCTTTTTAATTCTTGCATTAGTGACACAAACTCTTCAAAACTGATTTTGCCATCTTTGTTGCTGTCAGCAACTGATAGAATTTTCTCCACAATCTCTCGCACCTTGTAGCCAGGCAGAAGAAGGCTTGCTTCCTTAAACAGTTCTTGAAGTTCATAGTCACTGACATACCCACTATTATCAATATCTATTTTATTAAATGCTTCTTGTAGTTCTTCAAGTTCCTCCCGAGAAATGGTAGTAGTGCTGTTTTCCATCTTTGGACAGAAAAGACTATCTTCAGGTCTTTGTGTCTGCCGCGGCCGCCGTTCTGCCCTCAAGAGCGCAGCTCCCACTGAAGATCCAGGCCAGGAAGGAGGTATTTTCAGAGTTTTGTGCTAGACTGATAGCAGACTCTCATTCGGGAATAGTTACCTCTTCCGGTAAACTCTCACTGAACAAGGCAGAGAGCAGAACATGGGGAGACAGCAGGCCGGCTGGGAATGTTGCCTCAAATTCCCTGACGTCTCTGGGCCAACGTTGGCCCATGCAGAATCCAGAACGTGCGGTTTCCTCAAGGGTAGGGCCCTGGGCTGAGGCACACTGCATTGCTAAGGGGAAAGGCGCCTTGAACGCCGACGCCACTCCGCCAGGGTATGGAAAGCACTCTTGGCAGAGCCAGAATTCTCAGGGACCTGGAGGCAGGTCTACCGCTTTCTTGGCTCCCAAAGGGGCTGCGGCATTCATTGCCAGTCCCAGCCTCAAACAGCCCACCTCTGGAGAGTGCACTAGCCCCTGGAAACGCGGGGGTTGGAATTCCTTTAAGGGGTTGGGCCCAGCCCCTCAGACCCTTTCCGCGGTCCGCCCCGGGCAACCAGAACTACATCTCCCGGCGACCCGCGCGCCTGAAGCTGCTTCCGCCCCGACCGGACTTTCCTGCTGCGGATTGGCTGTGGCTGCTCTGGCTCCGACGAACGCTCCCGGTCCCCGAAGCGGCGCCCGGCCAGTTGGTTTGCAAGCTGGAACTTGTCGTGCAGGTTTGGCCTAAAGTGGGTGATGGGGGATAGACGTGTCCCAGAGTGGACGTGCGCGTGCGTTGTGGCGATGTGGTGTTGCGTGACTCCGTGTGAGAAAGTGGGACAGGAAAGGGGCCGAGAGCCATGCCGAGGGACTGGGGGCGCGGCCTGTCGGGCGGGCCCGATTACGTAAAGGGGCGGGGCCTGACTGCCTGCCCGCGGGGTTAGGGACTAGCGACCCTGGTCTTGAGGAGGCATGGGAGGCCCGCAGGGTGGGCCCTGGCACACTGAGAAGGACGGGTGAAGAGGCTGTCTGTCACTTGTGGGTTGGGACTTGCAGATGTGACTTGCAGGTGTTATGACCACTCACCTCCATCGTGAGGAGCGCTAGTCCTTTGGTTCTGTGCTGGTGAGGGTTGATGTTGGGACCTTATCCCTCTGGAATACACGTTGGGATCTGTATGTCTTCTGTTTTAAACGTTCTAAGTGTCTTTAACACCTTTAGAAAATGCTCAGGTGTTCCCAGCGTTGTTTTGTTTGTTTTTTTTTTAATATTGCTGATTTGCTATGCTTTCATTTTTATTACATTTTAAATATTTCTTAAGTATATGCTGCAGAAAACTGTACATATTCAACTCGATGAATTTTTACAAAGCGAATACACCTAGGTAATCAGCACTGAGACTGAGATGGAGGAAGCCATTGCCAGCATTCCAGTTTTCTTGCACCCCTGCACAGTCACTTTCCTGCCAAGAGTGACCACTATTCTAGCATCATGGACTTCCTTTAATTTTGAATTTATCTAAATAGAATCACACCGTGTGTACTTTTTTCTGTCTGGCTTCTTTTTGTTAAGTTTTATGTTTGTGACATTCATATTATCGCTTGTTATATGTTATAGTTCCTCCATTCTTTCTGCTATGTAGTATTCAGTTGTGCGACTATAACAATTCCACTGTAATACACATTGGCACAGGTTTCAGTTTTCATTAATGCTTCTTCTATGAACATTTCGGTAGGTGCCTTTTGGGGTGGATAAATATGCATTTCTCTTGGATTTATACATCAGTGTGAAGTTGCTGGGCCTAGGGAGTAAATATACTGCTCTTGATACATGTTGCTAAACAGTTTTTCACAGTAGTTGCACTGATGCATTCCCCCATCAGTGTATGAGTTCCAGTTCCCTCACATCCTCCCTACTTGGTACTTACCATGTTTTCATTTTAGCTCTTCTAGTGGATGTACATTTTCCTGATGTCTAATAAAGTTGAGTACATTTTCTTATGTTTATTGGTCACTTACGTATTCTCTTTTGTGAAGCGTCTTCTCAAATTTTGCCCATTTTTTCTGTTGGGTATATTTTTGTGGTTGATTTCAGAAGATTTACAAATATATGTCCTAGAGACGACTCCTTTGTTGGGGATGTTTATTGTAATAAATATCTCTTTGCAGTCTGTGGGTTGCCTTAGTGGTAACTTTTGATGAACAGAAGCTTTTAATTTTAATGTAGTCAATTTTACTAATTTTGTTTTATGGTTAGTGCTTTTTGTGGCCTGTTTAAAAAATCTTCTCTGATTCCAAAGCCATCAATATATACTTTATGTTTTTTCTAAAATTGTTGTTGTTCTTGTTGTTGTTGAGGTAGAGTCTCACTCTGTCACCCAAACTAGAGTGCAGTGGTGCAATGACAGATCACTGCAGTCTTGAACACCCAGGATCAAGTGATGCTCTCACCTCAGCCTTCCAAGAAGTTCAGACTATAGGCACGCCCCACCACACCTGGCTTTTTTTTTTTTTTTTTTTTTTGAGACGGAGTTTCGCTCTTGTTACCCAGGCTGGAGTGCAATGGCGCAATCTCGGCTCACCGCAACCTCCGCCTCCTGGGTTCAGGCAATTCTCCTGCCTCAGCCTCCTGAGTAGCTGGGATTACGGGCACGTGCCACCATGCCCAGCTGATTTTTTGTAGTTTTAGTAGAGACGGGGTTTCACCATGTTGACCAGGATGGTCTCGATCTCTTGACCTCGTGATCCACCCGCCTCGGCCTCCCAAAGTGCTGGGATTACAGGCGTGAGCCACCACGCCCGGCCTATTTTTTTCCCTGTAGAGATGAGGTTTCCCAATATCGCTCTGGCTGGTCTCCAACTTCTGGGCTCAAACAATCCTCCCATCTTGGCTTCCCAAAGTTTGGGAATTCGAGGCATGAGCCACCATGCCCAACTAAAAGTTTTAGTATTTTGCCTTTCACCTTCATGTCTGCAACTATCTGGAACTGATTTTTAGATCTTGATTTTTTTTTCCATATGCATGGCCAGTTGACCCAGCACTATTTATTGAAAAGATATCCGGCCGGGCGCGGCGGCTCAAGCCTGTAATCCCAGCACTTTGGGAGGCCAAGGCGGGTGGATCACGAGGTCAAGAGATCGAGACCATCCTGGTCAACAAGGTGAAACCTCGTCTCTACTAAAAATACAAAAATTAGCTGGGCATGATGGTGTGTGCCTGTAGTCCCAGCTACTCGGGAGGCTGAGGCAGGAGAATTGCTTGAACCCAGGAGGCGGAGGTTGCGGTGAGCCGAGATTGTGCCATTGCACTCCAGTCTGGGCAACAACAGTGAAACTCCGTCTCAAAAAAAAAAAGAAAAAAAGAAAAAAAAAAGAAAAGATATCCTTTCTCCACTGGACTACTAAAATTATACCTTTGTCATTTGTCAAGTGATTATGTATGTATGAATCTATTTCTGTAGTCTCTATTTGATATGAATTGATCTAGCTGATCTGTTAATCAATTTTTCTGTCCTTATGCCAAAATCGTCGTACCTTAATAACAGTAACTTTATAATAGGTGTCTATGTTCGGTAATGTGAATTCTTTAACTTTGTTCTCCTTCTTTGAGATTACCTTGACTATTGGCCCTTTGCACTTCTATATGAATTTTAGAACCATTTTGACAATTTCCTTTTAAAATTACTAGATTTTTTTAAAAGGATTGTGTTGAATCTATAATGCTTTGGAGAGAATAGGCATCTTCTAATTTATGAATATGGTGTATCTATAACTCCATATATTTTTTCAGTAATATTGTGCCATTTTAAATCTAGAGGTCTTAAACATCTTTTGGTTGATTTATTCCTATGTTATCTCTTTGTATTTTATTGAAAGTAGCATCATTTAAAAGTTTTCATTTTCTGTTTGGTTGTTCTTGATTTATAGAAATCAAACTGACTCTTTTTAAGTTGGCCTGTATCCAGCAACCCTGATTTAAAAAAAATCACTCAATTCCGGTAGTCTATCTGTAGATTCTTTCTACTTTTTTTATATGTATGTTATCTGTAAATTATTTCAAATTATGCAGATTTGTTCATGAGAGAGATTGGTCTGTAATTTTCCATTCTTCCTTGTGGAGTTTTTATATCAAGGTTATGCTGACTTTACAAAAAACAGTGTTTAAAATTGGTGTCATTTCTTCCTTAAGTGTTTGGGGGACATCATTGGTGACGTCATCTATGCCTTCATTTCCTTGTCTGACTTTTTATTTTATTTTACCTTCACTGTAGTGCTGATATGGGAATTTTTAATGACAGATTTTCTTTCAATACACAATAGGCTATTTATATTTTCTACTTATTATGTCAGCTTTGGTGAGTTATGTTTATTGAAAAACTTGAACATTTTACCTAATTGTTACATTTATTATATTAAAGTTCATAATATTCTCTTATTTTCTTTTTCATATTTGTAGGATCTATAGGCACACCTTTCTAATTCCTGCTATATTCTATATGGTTTTTTGTTGTTGTTACTGGTTGGCCTTATTGGTGGTTTGTCAGTGTTATTTAATATGTAAGAGGAGCAGCTTTTGCTTTTATTGATTTTTCTCTCTTGTGTCCTTGCTTTCTGTTTCACTAATATCTTCCTTTATCTTTTTTTTATTGGGTTTGATTTGCTGTTCTGGCGTCTTGAGATGGGAGCTTGAACACTTAATTTTCAGCCTTTCTTTTCTATAGGAAAGCTATAAATTTTCTTTAGGCTGCTTTTCTTTAAGGGTATAGGTTTTTCTCTGTGTACTGCTTTCAGCACACCCACAAGTTTTAATGTCACATATCATCATTTTTCAATTCATAATGTATTCTAATTTCTATTTTGATTTCTTCTTTGATGCTGGGATATTTTCTTTTTTTTTTCCGTTTATTTATTTATTTACTTTAGGCTCTGGGGTACATGTGCAGATCATGCAGGATTGCTGCATAGCAAGGTGGTTTGCTGCCTCTATCCCCCCATCACCTATATCTGGCATTTCTCCCCATGTTATTCCTCCCCAACCTCCCCACTGCCTGCTGTTCCTCCCCTAGCCCCCCCCAACAGACCCCAGGGTGTGATGCTCCCCTCCCTGTTTCCATGTGTTCTCACTGCTCAACACATGTCTATGAGTGAGAACATGTGGTATTTGATTTTCTGTTCTTGTGTTAGTTTGCTGAGAAAGATGGTTTCCAGATTCATCCATGCATGTCCCTACAAAGAATACGAACTCATCATTTTTTACGGCTGCATAATATTCCATGGTGTATATATGCCACGTTTTCCCTGTCTAGTCTATCATCAATGGGCATTTGGGTTGGCTCCAGGTCTTTGCTATTGTAAACTGTGCTGCAGTGAACATACGTGTGCATGTGTCTTTATAATAGAATGATTTATAATCTTTTGGGTATATACCCAGTAATGAGATTGCTGGGTCAAATGGAATTTCTATTTCTAGGTCCTTGAGGAATAGCCACACTGTCTTCCACAATGGCTGAACTAATTTACACTCTCACCAACAGTGTAAAAGTTTTCCTATTTCTCCACATCCTCTCCAGCATCTGTTGTCTCCAGATTTTTTAATGATCGCCATTCTAATTGGCTTGAGATGCTATCTCAATGTGGCTTTGATTTGCATTTCTCTAATGACCAGTGATGATGAGCATTTTTTCATGTGTTTGTTGGCCTTATATATGTCTTCTTTTAAAAAGTGTCTGTTCATATCCTTCACCCACTTTTGAATGGGTTTGTTTTTTTTTTCTTGTAAATATGTTTCAGTTATTTGTAGATTCTGGATATTACCCTTTGTCAGATGAGCAGATTGCAAAATTTTTTGCCCATTCTTTTGGTTGCCAGTTCACTCTAATGATTGGTTTTCTGCTGTACAGAAGCTCTGGAGTTTAATTAGATCCCATTTGTCTATTTTGGCTTTTGTTGCCAATGCTTTTGGTGTTTTAGTCATGAAGTCATTGCCTAGATGCATGGATATTTTCTATGTATACTGTTCAATTTCCAGGCAGCTGAGGAAATTGCATTTCTGGTGGCTTTTTGCTAATGACTTTTAGCTTAGTTCCATATGGTCTGTAATATATTCTGAATGATTTTCTTATTGAAAGTTTTAAGCCTTTCTTTATAGCCCAGGAGATGGCCAATTTAGGTAAATACTTCAATTGCACTTGAAAAGATTGTGAATCCTGTCATTTGATTTTAGTGTTCTACATGTGTCTGTTTAACCTTTAGTCTTTACTGATTTTTTTTACTTAAATTTGCTATGCAGTTGTGCCAAATTTCTGTCTTTGCATTTTGTCTATTTTTTCTTTCACTTATGCCAATTTTTATATTATATATATTGAAGTTACATGACTGAATACATGCAGATTTGTGGTGTTCCTGTTGAGTTGACATCCTTATTATTATAAAATATTCCTATTTAAGGCAACAGTAATTAGTAAACATGAGTCTATTTTGTCTGATATTACTGTAGTTAAACCTGCTGGGTTTGGGTTGGTATTTACATACTGTGGCTTTTTCTATCCTTTGATTTTCAGTCTTTCTCTATCCTTATATTTAAAGGGTGTCTTTTGTAAACAGCATATAGTTGAGTTTTGTTTTTAAGGATAGTCTGGCAATTTTAGCCTTTTGTTATATTATCCACTTTACATTAAATAAAATTATTTACATTGTTAGGGTTAGGTCTATTCTATCATTATGTGTTTTCTGTTTAGTGTGTCTGTGTTCTCCTTTTATTTGCCCAGTTTTCAGCCAAGAATGCAGATAGAACACATTCCCTCAAGGGAAACAAGAAAGCCTTCATTTACAAAATCATTGCTTAATAAACCTCAGACAAATTGCCATACAGGTATGCACATAAGAAAGCTTTGATCTCTTCCACTGAGTTTTTTAATTTGATGTGATAGGATACCCAGATAATAAGTTTTATCTGCGAAGACCTTGTGAAATCCGGGAAATTTTAAATGTCTAAAATATAAAGTATAATAATGGTTAATTCAGTTATGACCATAAGGCATACCACTTATCTTGTATATACCAAGCAATAAAAAACTTAATATTTATCTTGACAAAAAAAAAATGCTTGTGATCTCATATTCTGACTTAAGGATGAAACTGAGTCCCCATGAAATTATTATGTCATGTGCAAATTGTACTTTAAAGGTAGAAATATAATTTAAGACAAGATGTGGGGCCGGGCGCGGTGGCTCAAGCCTGTAATCCCAGCACTTTGGGAGGCGGAGGCGGGTGGATCACGAGGTCAAGAGATCGAGACCATCCTGGTCAACATGGTGAAACCCCGTCTCTACTAAAAATACAAAAAATCAACTGGCCATGGTGGCACGTGCCTGTAATCCCAGCTACTCAGGAGGCTGAGGCAGGAGAATTGCCTGAACCCAGGAGGCGGAGGTTGCGGTGAGCCGAGATCGCGCCATTGCACTCCAGCCTGGGTAACATGAGTGAAACTCCGTCAAAAAAAAAAAAAAAAAAAAAAAAAAAAAAGACAAGATGGATGGAGGCCATGGGTTTGTGGTTTCTTTCCTTGAAACTGTGTGTTTTTTGCTGTTTCATCTGCTAGGGCAACCTCATTTCACCATGTTTGTTCACTACCAGCCCTTCCATCTGGAAAGGCTTGTTTTGACAGTGATACGGAGGGAGAGGTCCTTGCTCTGATCCCCCCAACACTCCTGCCTCTAGCCTCAGTCTACGTCTATCCCTTTCCTTTTTTTTTTTTTTTTTTTTTTTCTTTTGTATTATTATTTTTTTAAGACAAGATTTCACCATGTTGGTCAGGCTGGTCTTGAACTCCCGACCTCAGGTGATCCGTCTGCCTTGGCCTCCAAAGTGCTTGGATTATACGCGTGAGCCACCACGCCTATCCCTTTCTATAAGGCCTTTTTCCATCTCTGTCTCCGTCATGAAAACTTGTCTTTTATTTCACTTGATAACGTATATGTTGGCTTTTTTCAGGGATTGATGGCATTCAAGGATGTGGCCGTGGACTTCTCTCGGGAGGAATGGGACTTCCTGGATGCTACTCAGAGGCACTTGTACAGATGTGTGATGCTGGAGAACTACAGCAATCTGGCCTCAGTCAGTAAGGATACTTACTTGCAGATGATTCAGTATCCACCCTTCAGAAGTTCTGCCTTCATCCTTGTGAATTTGTGGGTTGTCTGAATTTCTGCTTCCCACTACTGAAGGAAGTCTGTACTTGGTGGTTGTGGAAAAGGCATCTCTGTTGCACACATTCCTTAGAAGACTTGCATACTTCCCTCTTGTTATTCTCATGATCGTCTCTTTTCTTTTTGAGACGGGGTCTCGCTCTGTCACCCAGACTGGAGTGCAGCAACATGATCTCAGCTCACTCACCACAGACTCCACCTCCTGGGCTCAAGTGATCCTCCCACCTCAGCCTCCTGAGTAGCTGGGACCACGTACTAATTTTTGTATTTTTTGTGGAGACAGAGTTTCACCATGTTGCCCAGGCTGCTCTCAAATTCCTGGGCTCAAGCGACCTTACCACCTCGGCCTCCCAAAACCCTGGAATTTCTTACAGGCATGAGCCACTGTGCCCAGCCAGTCTCTCTTCTCTGGTGACCAAAAGCTGGCTTTGAATTCTGCCACCCTCCAGCTTGATCCTGTTTCATTTCTTCTTTTGCATGTAGGACTTTCCATTTTAAAGCCAGATGTGATCTCCTTATTGGAAGAGGAAAGCCAGCCTTGGCTGGTGAACAGGGGCATGACAGCAGGACCTTGCCCAGGTGAGTGGGAGCTTAGGAGCAGAGGGGAGGCTCGGCAGCCAGCTGGCCTCGCAGCAGCATCTTGGATATTTTTGCTGGGAACTGCTGCTCCCAGGATGAGGCCTGAAGAGGGAGAGAAGGAAGGCCTGAGACCCAGGGAGAAAAATAACTTCTCTCTCTCCCCTCTTAGTGAGGTAGGTAGGAATCCTCCTTCCCCATGCTCATCCTCTTTACCTACAGATTAAGTCTAATTCTTTCCCTGCTTATCCTTGTCATTTAGACCTGTGTAAATATTGTCACTTATAAAACATATTTTGGAAAAACATGAATTGAATACTTAATATTTAATGAATTATTCCCTTTTTAAAATTTATTTTCTTTATTCAGTAATTGATGCTTTATTCATTTACTCTTTATCCAAAATGCGTTGATGTTTAATTTTTATTTTTATTTTGTGAGACGGAGCTCCACTCGTGTTGCCCAGGCTGTGTTGCAGTGCAACGGTGTGGTCTCAGCTCACTGCAACCTCTGCCTCCCAGGTTCAAGTGATTCTTCTGCTTCAGCCTCCAAAATAGCTGAGACTACAGGTGTGTACCACCACTAATCTTTGTGTTTTTAGTAGAGACGGGATTTCACCGTGTTGACCAGGCTGGTTGTGAACTCTTGACCTCAAGTGATCTACCCACCTCAGCCTCCCAAAGTGCTGGGATTACAGGCGTGAGCCACCGCACCCGGCCGATGTTTAATTTATTTAAGACTCACATCAGTCTTACATAAATTTAGGGGAAATAAAGTGAATAAACTATTAAGAAATGTACCATCTGATTAGAAAGCTAGAATAGATTCATAAGCGGTTCCCATAAAGTAGACTATACCACAGAAGATAGTCCAGTAGGCTGCTTAGATGAAAGTCAAGACTCAAGATACGAATGTGGAAGCAATTAGGAAAGGGATTTCTTTGTGCATTGAGGTGGAAGGCGCATCAGCGGGAAGATTGGGGGTGAACTATGAGGTTGACCTCAGGGAAGAGAGAGCCTGGCCAGCAAGAAGCAGCACCCTTGTTAGGTAGTCATTGGTGAGTTTTCTCTTTTGAGCAGAAGTCAGATGGAAATGCCATTCAATGAAGAATGCTTTTTGCCTTTGAAATTTGACAAAGATGATCCATTTCATGTTTTTTGTAAAAAAAAAAAAAGGAGTTTCAAAGTTCCAGAAATAACATTCATGTTTTAATGACATTGTTCTAAACATTGAATTTATAGTTTTTATCTTCTTTCATAGAGCACTGCCATATCTTTTTTATTTTCATGTAGATTCAATTATGTATTATCATAGCCCCTTAAGATAGATTTATAATTTCTTGTTAATAAAGTTTTACTATGATATGCACACATCTTTTATTTGCATGGATCTTTTCATATTATGTTATAATCCTAGGTTGGGTTCGCTGAGAAATAGGTGAAGAAATGAATGGAGATTTGCATCCAGGAAGTTTAGTGGGTGGTGCTGCTAGTGTCTAACCTGTAGAGGACTGAGGAAGGACAGTTTGGACTGCCCTGAGTTACGGCAGAGGCTCTGGCTGATTGTGCAAGGAGTTCCAGAGCTGGGATAGCTCTTTAATGCCTCAAAATAAGGGAGGGGAGTCAGGCCTTCGTACCTCACCCTGAGCAGCCACTGGAGGGGCTGTTCTTGGGAGGGGTGTAACCTCAAGTGAGGTAGCTCCTTATGTCAAGGACAAGGCCTGGATGCAAACTCAGCTATGAGTTGTTGGCTGTCAACACCCAAGACAGCTGGGGAATGCCTGGCTTCACCCAAAAAAGATTTGCTTTAAGATACTGGACTCCTGGGTCCAAGGGTTAAAAAGCTCTTTCAAACTTTGTTCTTAACAATGTGTAAGGTAAGTGCCTTCTGCACATGTCAGACCAGTAGTTTGTCAGTTCACTGAAGTCATTTGAAGCCAGGTGTGGTGGCAGGCAAATATAGTCCCAACTATTTGGGAAGCTGAGGTGGGATGGTGGCTTGAGCCCAGGAGTTTGAGGCCAACCTGGGCAACATAGTAAGACTCCACCCCTAAAAGACAGGCAAATAGGTACGCAAACAGACAGACAGTCATTTGAAGTGAAGAATCACTAAAAATGTTAGCTGTAAAATAAAAAATGTTAGCTATTTAGTTAGAATCATAAATAATGTTAGTAGGGATGGGGCAGAGGGGCATCCGTCCAGCTGACTGGTGTGTTCTGTGGGCGGATGGGGCTGGAGAGGATCCAAACATGGCTCCCTTTGTCATTCGGCAGAGGGGCCAGACCACTGTGTACCAGACAGCTTTGCATCACCAGCCTCTGCTGCTGGGCCAGCCCCCAGCACCATGACAGCTCTGCATACA